GTATTTAGGGCCACTGATACACTCTTGTCCTATTTGACAAGTGGAGAAGGTGGGAACTGTGTGGTTTCTGTGTGCCTTCAGCTCCTTGAATCTCAGATGATGAGAAAGCAGCATTGCCAAAGGAAGGAGAGAGGAAATGTGGGCAGAAGTAGGAAATGCAGTTCGTGGAAGTCAGGCCTCAGCAGACATGTTGACACTTGGCAGGCCTTGACCAGCAAGTGGAAATTTAAACCTGCCCCAGTTTTAACTGGTTTTGTTTGTTTTTCACTGAGGCTAGCTGCCTTCTGATGCAGACATACCTCTGGTTTGGGCTGGGTTTTTTTTCCCTGTACCTAAGATTAATCCTGGAAGTGGCAAGTATAAGTCTGGATTCCAGTTAGCACTGTCTTCTCAAGAGCATCTCTTTGTATTATAGATAACTGAGGCCTAAAACCCGTGGCAGGTGTGAAGGTCCCTGGAGTTAGCAGGTGGACAACCAGAATGAGAAGGCTCAAAGTTCTGGAATGAATTTAGATGCCACATTAAATCAGTGTACTTGAAACTGGTCTGAGGAAACATGAAATACTACAAATCTTGGTGTTCAAACTCAGAGCTGGAGTTGATAACCACAAAGCTCGCATTCATCATGGGAAGCAGACTTGAAATGTTTTCCTGAAATTAAGACAGTTTACATAGTTGGTCCTTATTCTTTACTAGCTAAGTAGGTCAGAATGTATCCATTTGCTCCGTTTTTTTTTAAGCTGTAGCTGCATTTGTCTGGTTCTTGGAAAGCTGCTTTGGGAAATTGTGAAAGTTGCTTTCCAGGACCATACTTCTCTTATAGGACCGGGTGGCCTGAACAGTGGTACTTCAGGCTACCTTGAAGCATTGCAGAACAGCCATAATACAAGCTTCTACTCTCTTTAGGGTTGAGGGATTTGTTATTTAGTGTCCTTTCCTCTCCCTAGTCCCCGTTTCCTTGCTTTGGTAAGAAAACGGGGAGATTTTGAAATGTGGAGGAAAACAATTAGTCAGGTTGTTCTTGTGATATAAAGAAAAGCTCCTTCAAATGTTAGAGGAATAGTCTTGACTTTTGCTTTGAAATTATGTAGTTGAGAATAGCAAATGAGAGTCAGTCCTTGTAGATATCTCCTGATGTTGTCTTTCCGTGGAAACTCTGTACTTTGACGCTTGAAAGCAGAAAATAAAAAAAATAAAAAAAATTAGTCTTGGGTTTCCTCAAATTTCTGAGTCACTTCCACAAATTACTTGTGTTTCATCCTCTGAATACAAAACCTCAAAATGTTGCACAACTGCGTAGCAATTGGACATAGAAGCTGAAGTGCCACTGTTTTTTCAGTGGTCAGAGATAGGAGATCAGCCTAACTTACACCCATAGCTGACTAGGATTGTGTACGTGACTGTCAGAATTTTAGTCAATGAATTTTTTGCAAGTTTGAGAAATGTTTTCTCCTTGGTGGCTGGGAATGAAGGGACTTGCAGGGTAAGAATTAGATGTAATTGCAGGAACAGAAGTCTGGAGGGAGAAGACAGTGTTTCAATATGTAACTCTAGAGAACTGGAAAGTACAGAGCAGTAATTATCTCTTTCACAGGCTGTTCATAACCTACTTCTTTTCCTTAAGAACTGGCTTGAAAAAATATGCATTTGTACCACAAATACATAATTTTATATATTTCCTAATAAAATCTGTATTGATATTAAATGATATTTTAAACTAAGATGTGCTGCTGCTCTTCAGTTCCCTCTTTTTATTCTGACCTGCTTAAAAGCTTTTTAGGAAACTCCTGACTGTTTTTAGAATGAAAAGAGTAGTTTTGCTTTAGGGCAGTGTTTCTTCAAGAAGACAGGAAAGATTAAATTCTAGATACAGTAACCATGAAATCACATCATGTCACTTTGCTATTGAGTTCAACTTTGTCAGAGATCTTTTTTAAAAATGTTTAGTGCATTATAAAGATTTCTTTTTTTCCACCATTGATTATTGACAGCCAGCTTGGTGAACTTTGCAACACTGGTTATTTGTGAATTGAGGGATGAGTATCCACTATACAGGATTTGACATACAGATAATTATGCTGATCTGTCATTAGGTTGATAAATAGTTTTGTATTGAGCTACACAGATAGCCGGTGCCTTCAATAGACTTCTGCAGGCCCACTCGGGACTCTCAGTCTGTCATTTTGACAAATGAAATAATTTCATAGAAGAAAATACTTTTTTTAATGATCTTCCTTCTTTTTTGGGGGGGATGGTTGTCTTTTTTTGGTGCAGGTTTTTTTTTTGTTTTATTATTTTTTGTTTGGTTGGTTTGTTTGGTTTCATTTTCCTGGAAAGCCCGTGACACAACAGCAATAAAAATTAAGGCTGCATGATTTATTAATCTGTGCAGTGCCCAGATTAAAAAAAAAAAAAAATCATGTTACAGTGTAAGAAGTCACTGCCTGCTTCAAGACTTTCCACTTTTTAATTTCTGCCTTCAGTTATTACTTCAGTCATTCAGCACTGTAGAAATACACTGCAATATGACAAAAACTTCTGTGAGGCAGTCAAGCAATTTGTCATAAGATTCCTAATTACCTAGACTATGAGTTATGAAATGCACAGGTCCAAATTTAAAGAGCATCAAAAACAAGCACAGATACCCAGACTCAAGACTTCAAGGACAGACATTGCTTTTTAAATACACCTTTCAAATCTGATTAAAATAAACAGAAGTTCGTTATACAGTGCTTTAGAGCTTTCAAGCTGCTGCTCAAGGCCAGGTATTTTGGGGTAGATATTTAAGAAATTAAGCATTTTAGTATTCTATCTTTTCCATTCAAGTAAAGGTACCTTAGAAGACTGAAAAAGTTAAATATATTCTGGACTGCATATCGGATTTTAGCCTCCCTTAGCTTTCTGTGTGAAGAGCTGTATTGATTTGCTGCTTAAGATGCTAGACATGCATGTGGTACTGTATTCTAGCTGAGGTGTTGAATTCAGATACATTTGTTTTAGTGTGTTCCACATGATAACAGTGACTTTTCTGGCTGTCAGAGCCTTCTCTAAAGCTGATTCCGAACTGACTATTCTGCCTCATATTCTCTGATCTGCTTTTGAAACATCCCACTTAAATACATGTCTCTCAAGGCTTAACAACCTCTTTGAAGGTTAATACTGTAACTTTCTATTTACAATACAAAATGGTTAATGATGTCCTCAGTCCCAGAAGAACACTAAGTATGTTAATATAGTGTTAAAAATCAAAACCAAAACCAAATCTCACAATGTCTTCCACCATAAATTGCTGTAGCTGTTTTCTCACATTCTTTCTTCCTCTACCAATAACTGTATTCTTTAAAAAGTAAAATAGAAATAGAAAATAAAAAAGCTTCCTAATTTGCATCTGATGACACACAGAAGTACCATATGGACCTACTGTCTATTGATGGGTTCCAAATAAATATACTTTGTCCACACTAGTACAGCTTCGTATTTTGAAGGCATAATGTTAAGTTCTGCTATAAACAAACAAACAAAAAAGGCAAAGCAAACAGAACAATCCCACCTAAAATTGAAGCATAACTTGAATATTGTCTTTTATTTTCTTAAGATCAGTAATGTGTGTGGCAGATTTTAGCTAACTCAGCTGAATGACTTGTCAGAAAAGGATGTGTGGCTAGGAGCATGTAACTGCCTCCAATTTTTTTTCAGATTTAAGAATACACTTTTTACATGTTTGCAGGGTAGCGCCCACTCAGTACTTTGTATGGAAGTGTTGTTCTAGTTTGCAAAGTAACATAATGAGCAGTTAGTGAGGATATTTTTTCTCAGCTGCCAAAGGGTTTCACAGAGTTGTAATGACTGCCGTATTACTGTCAAGCTGTCATGGAGTAAATGGAGGTTTTAAAGTATGTATTGTGGGGTTTGGGGTAGCTGGTTTTTTGTTTGGTTTGGTTTTGTTTTTGTTTTGTTTTTTTTTTTTGAATGTTTGAGAAATGCTAGCTTTGCCCTGAAATACCAAGACACGAGAGGTGAAATGCAACTAGATCTGTTTGGCTGTGCACAGTAATTATAAGTGTGAGACCTAAAGGGAAAACTGCAGTTTTTCCAGGATGATCACATTAGCTAACTTGAAACTGAGTTTCTACCTAAAACAGCTTGAGATACCCAAGATCCTTATAAGCTCTTCCAGTGTAGAGCAGCCCGCTTGGACTCTGCCAGAGTTGCTGTGTTGTGGATGATAAATAGTCATCTAATCAAGATGCTTTTATAGTTGATCACCAGTGGAGTTGGTGAGGTTCAGGCTCTTAATATCATCTTCTTTTGCTGAAGTACAAAGGACTGATGGCTTCAGCTGAAAACAAAGCTGCTGATCATTGATTATTAAAAGTGGTATGTGGAGAAGTCTGGAGATGGAGATGTTGAGATTAGATATTTGGTGTTTTAACTATTGTATCTGTAAAATTTGATATTTTCACCTTGAAATATGCAGTGACTGCTGTTTTCAAGGGCACTAGAATCTATGTCTTGTAGAAGCCTTCAGAGCAGTGAGAAGTTTGCTGTATTAAACTTTAATCTCATAACTGATTTTGTATGAGATTGAGGGGGTAAGAGGAGGTAGAGCACTTGATAAATAATTTGTCTGTCTAATCCTTCCTAGGTTTGAATGCTTTGTTTTTTGCTACTAGTGTTAATTTTCTATGTGGCTTCTGTATAGTATTGCGCATATTTTCTTTTTAATACATGCTTCATTCAGCAGTAGATTATTGCCTGTTTCTCTTGGAAAGGGAATAATCCACAGACCACAAAACTTGAGCCATTGTTACATAGCCTCCTATTAATACAGCTTTGTAGATAACGTGTGGAACTTGGTCTAGTGGAATGCTGTAGAACCTGCCAGAATGATCATTGGAGTTAACAAAAAAAGACATGACAAATGTTAGGCTGTATTTGGGGAAGGTAAGGACATAAGTTTGTGGTGTGCTTGTGTAACTTTAAATTTGTTTCCTGCACAGTGGTATATAAATTCACAGCAAAAGCACAACCTGTGTATATACTGTGTAAGTATAGATAGGATGCCTGTCACCTCTACTTTGTTGTTATTGTTAGGCTTGGGTGTATAGATGATTGAGCAATCAAAGAGTCTTTAATACTAGTATCACCTCTTAGTAATATCTAGACTTTGCGTTTCAGTAGTTCTTCTAATTTAATTTTGCTGCTGCCTTTCTGATGCTATGTTATTTTCTCTGTTCTATACTGTTTAACTTGTGATTCTGAATTGCATACTGCACTGATTTGGTACTTAATGCTTCAAATGCTGATGAAGAGACTTCTGGCAATATTTTTATTATATTCTTATTAATAGTCTGTTCAATATATTGAGTTCAGCTACTTTTTACTTCATGCTTTCTACTTCAGTGTAACTTCTTAAAAACAATTGTCTGCCATGTGGAACATTAATATCAGATTTTATTATTTTTTTTACCTACTAAAATTTCCTTGGAAATTAATTTTTTGCTTATCAAATTAAGCTCTCTTAAAGATGCTTGGACTTTCACATGGTACAGACGCACACACTGAACTTAAAATGTAGAAGTCTGAGATACTGAAATGGGCTTTTTATATTAATGTGCATTTGTCCTTATCTATTCCAAAGTACATTTAATATCCAGACAGTGATCCTGTGCATTGGTAAATTTTCATTATTTGAACAAATAATGAATGAGAACAGTGAGACACATTATTAACTTTTTAACATTATGGAATGATGAGATACTATGCCAATATTTACTTACTGTATAACTGTACCCCTGAGTGAAGAAGTGCATGCAGCATGCATCTTCTGAGTGGGTAGCCTCTTAGCTTTCCTGACTATTTGGGTAAAAGGGTGCACAAAACCAAGCAATCTTACTCAAATCTTGGTTATTTTAAAAGCCTTCTTTAGCTGCTAGTATTTAGTAGCAGAGAGAAGTGACTTTTCCAATAATAGTTTTTTTGGAGGGCCGTATCAGTGAAGAGTGGAGATGTCTTCTACACACACACCTTTTTTTGTATGTGTGTGTTCTCCTTTCTTGAATTCCAAGAAGAAATTAATTGAGGCTGAGTGCGAGAAACCTCAGCTAAACAGTGTGGGGAAAAAGGACCAGTAAGTTGATTGTAAAAAAGCAAATGGCAAGAACTTTGTTTTAGTTCTCTTTTTTACAGGGTATTGTCAACTTAAGCTGATAATGCCTAAATTATATCTGATTTTCAATAGTATACTTGTTGGGCATCGTACCATCATTCTGACAATGGGGAACGTGGTTTTCAGTACATTATCCAGAAAAGGGTATGTCTTCTACTATGCCCTTTCAGAATCAGTGACATGTTTACTTTGTAGGACGTTATAGAAAATACACCAGTAAACCAGCTACTGTTAAAGTGAACTAGACGTCATGTTCCTGAAACATTAAGCCTATTTCAGTTACATGCTTTTTCTTTTGTATGTTTAGTGACAAACAAGAAACCAGCTCAAGCATCTATTACAAAGGTGAAGCAATTTGAAGGCTCTACATCTTTTGTCAGGAGAACACAGTGGATGCTTGAGCAGCTTCGCCAGGTCAATGGTATAGACCCTAATCGGGTGAGTTTGAACAGTTCTAAAAAAAGAAAATTAAGTGCTTGTATAACTCATCTGTGAGTCAGGCATTCTCTCACTATTCAAAAGGCATCTGGAAAGTTAGGATACAGGTTTAAGTCCAAATTCTCAAAAAAGAAATGAGTCAATGTAATATGTGAAATAGATTTTTAATGGGAAAGGTGGGAGGAGGCCAAAACTTATATTCATATGGGTTTTCTTTCTTCTTGACTTCCCCTACTTTTCTTCCTACTCTCTCTTCTTTGTAAGGAGAAAAATAAGAGCCTTGTTTGCCTTGTCTTCAGCTGTAAGCCTCTTGGGGTCCCTTTTGGCGTGCAGATGTGATGTAAGATAGAGGGTTAAGTAAAAGCAAGGACACAAGAGGTTACTGAAGTTCAAGATTGTGAAATAGTGTGAACCTCTCATTTTGTTCTAGCATAGTCCTGTCCTCAGATCTTTCTGCATTTCTTACCTTTCTATACAAAGGGTGGTGGTGTGGTTTAGTTGCCAGTGACATGCAAAAGCCAATTTAGACCAAACAAAACACCAAAAACAAAACAAACAAACAATATTCCCTCCCCGCCCCCCCTTCCCTGGCTAATTCTGGGATTATTCTTTCAATGTGGAATATACAGTCCACCTTGACCTCTCAAGCCAAAATCATACTAACATGTAATAAGCTCATAAATACAAATCTTCAGTAACAAATCAGCAAAATTAGAATTTAGGAATGTGGCCTATATTAAGTGATCACAAAATGACTTAACTGCGTTCATTGTACAGGAAAGTGTTTGTGACTACCCCCTTTGGTTTGTTCAAAGCTATGCTCTGATCAGGCACCTAAGCATTCTAACATTGGTGCACCAAATTCTGTTACCACCCGGTACAGTCTTCTGTACAAAAAAGAAGCCCTTTGGCCGCTGCCCTGTGAAATGCAGGGGGTGGAATTATATTTTCTCTGGGCAAAGGGACAATGAAAATGAAAGCAATTAAAAATAGATAATGGATATGAGGCTTAGGCCCTTTCCCAGCATCTGCTGTGCAGCTATGTAAATAAGAGATACTTGAGATACTCTCAGATTGAAAATCCTATCAAGTTCTTAGACATGTTCCTTTCAAATTTGTCTTGCTGTGAATTCGTAGCGTCATCAATTCAAAAAAAGCATTTACTAGATTAGATTACAAAGTGGTGTTTAGCAAATATTGCTAAATGTATAGCAATACTTCTTGCATAAATCCATTTATTTCGGTAGTTGCTGCATGGTATAGAGCTGGGCTGTGATTTCTTCTGGGAGTGCTCTTTTGTTCATGTCACCCTGAGACCTATGCAACACTTTATGATAATATGTTAAGCACAATAACTAACAAAACTAAATTGCTATCTGTTTTTCTTCTTTGGTTTGGCATCAAGAGCGGAAGCACATCTTCTTAAAATATAATATGAAAGTACATTTTGTGCTAAGGCACAAATCCTTGCATAATACAGAAGACAAATAAGTATGTATTTGTAGATACATAGTTAAAACCTCATATTTCTTATGAGAATGAGATTCCAATTTTAAATGTTTTTTTGTTTTCAGGTATTTTTTCATAGGTGAATATTCCTCATTAAAAATACCTGCAAGAAAAAGCTTTCCTGTCTGTCCTTTTTGCATCCAGAAATATACGAAGGAAAAATAATCCCATGACAGTCTTGAGCTGCATGACCTTTCTGCTTTTCCAACATAATACCTTTTCTAAATTAATAGATCTGTTTTTCCCAAGTCATTTATAAAACTGGAATAATAGTAGTGTGTGATTTTAATTTTTATTTATTTCTTCTAGGATTCCCCAGAATTTGATCTACTATTTGAAAATGCTTTTGACCAATGGGTAGCAAGCACAGCTTCAGAAAAGTGCACATTTTTTCAGGTTCTACATCACACTTGTCAGCGATACCTTACAGACAAGAAGCCAGAATTTATCAACTGCCAGTCTAAAATTATGGGAGGTAAGTCAGTTGAAGCTGGAGTACTTGGTGCAATTGGACACGAAATGATTTGCACGTGAGTTATTCTGTTTTGAAATGAGCCTAATTGCATCTTGAAATCGTGGGTCTGAATATGCTAACTTAGAAGTAAAGTTCTAGGCTTCAGCGTTTTTTCATTGAGCACTGCTTCAGACTCTTCCACTGTGATTGCTTCTCTAATCTTCAGTTGCAGAGGCAACATCCTCTACCCACCTTGTGAGAAGTCATTCTCCTCCCTCTTTTTAGCAACCTTGGTTTTGATTTGTCTCCCTATTTTTCTTCATTCAGAAGCATTTCTGAGTGGCTTGAAATACTTCCTACTAAGGCCTGTTCTGCATTGCCATTTCCTCACAAGTCTATGAAAAAGTGGTTATTTATAAACTTCCAGTGGTCTCTGGGGAGTCACTTTGATCTTGACAGAAATCAGCTTGTTTAGAGTTCTGTTATGTTTTGTAAGTCATATATCTTAAGGTGGATTTCTGGGATTAGACTAAAGAACATCTGGTTAGGAAAAAAAGTGTGGTCAATATGAGAAATTGGTATTCATCATCCACTTACCGAGCAACAAAAACTATTATTCGGGGAGTATTTTCACATATTTCACAAAATACCCTTTAGGAAAATAAACTTGTTTAGTTGTTCCTTTAGACTGAAATTTCTGAAAAGTCTCTTTTTTGCCTGCTCTAAACGAGAATATTTATTTTTTTTTAATTCTTATACAATCTGTGTTCTTCGCAGCTGAAATAAGAAATGGTTTTTCTCTTTCTGATTGAGTCTCCAAACTGTAGAAAAAAGTGTAAGCTGACTTGGTGCCTTGTTTAGTTGTTGTTTCTCCCCCCCTGACCCCAGTATACTTCAGTTGTAAATATGGAGAGCCTTATTCAGGTTTTTCTAGTAATTCCTCTTTTATAAATCTAGAATATATTCCTGTGTGCTGTTACCAGAGCTATATTTTGTGCTTCCATCTTCATATATTCTTTTTCCTGGCTGTTACTTTGTTTTGCATCCCTTTGCTGTAAAACATTAAAGGTAAACTTGAGGAAGGGAAAAATGATCTCCAGTTTACACTTCAACTACTGACACTGAAGTTACCAGTAGCTTTGGGGTCATAAGTCAGAACTGTTCTGTCAATCATCCTTTTATTTTACTATTCTTAAACTAAGAAAAAAGGCACAAAGTTTATTGTAAACTTCCTCTTCTCGTTTTTTCCCTTCCACGTTAACTAGTATTTCCTTTGTTTTATTTTTTGTGTTGTGAGGAGGAGGGAGGAGCAATTTCTGCACTTAGGGGAGAAGATATCCTCTGTGATTTTTTCATTTCATTTGGAAGAACTCATTCATATGGAAGCCTTTGTTTGGCATCTGTTTGCTCATGGTGCTCACCCCCATCCTTCCTGCCAATAAGTCAGTGTTAATAAACCACCTGACATTTCAGCCTCTGAAAGTTTTACTCTCATGTAAGATGGACTGGTCTGGAGTTCCTGATTCAACTGGCCCAGATACCAGGATTTTATCCTAAACAAGCGTTATTAGTGGAGGGGGCAGGGGGAAGAATGCCACTGAGGTTCATAGACTTCTGCATTCATTTTTGTAACATGCACTAGAACCAGCCGTGTCCCATAAAGCTTACCCATGTTCTCTCTTTTACAGTTTTGTAGCTGGGCTTATTCAGTCACTGCCTGATACCACATGGTGACTGTTTCCATATTCCTTGCCTGTCATTCCTATAGTGCACAGACACAGTTCGTGTGTGTACACACACTCTGTGAAGTCTACAGATGTGGTATTAGGCCAGGGACTAAGAAGTTTCACAGATACAGTGCTTCTGCTGTTCTTCAAACTGCCGCCTTTTTCCACGCACTTGGTTGGTTACAGGTGCCTTGTGCATAAATGTAAACTTGATAGAAACCAATAGGTATAATAGGTAACCCTACATTCCAGTGACTTTGTGTGTCAGCCTCAAGAAATGTAAAGTGCAGAAAAAAAAACTCCTAACTAGTAAATAACCACTATCAGTAATTATAAAAGGCAATGCACTCCTCTTGTTGGACGCTGTCTTTAAACAGACTTTTGCATCTAAGTATTTTAACATCTGCTGTTCCTTTCAATATTCAGATTGGCATTCTTAATGCAACGCTAAGTTTTCTATGAAATTTCTGTATTATACTATAATTGTAGGCTTTTTTTGTATGTTCATGCATACAGATAAATTCTTAACTCAGTTCCGGAAGCATTGTTCTCACACCCATGCTGGTATTTGTTGAAAATACAGGTAATTAATTATGAAAGAAAATAGATTAAATTAGCTTTTCAAACCATTTTTTTTAATTGTGGAAAAAAAAGTATTTTTCTTTAGTTTAGCAATTTTCCTAATGTTCTAATATACATGGGGATATATTTCACTAATCTTTTCATCATCTTCAGAAGCTTTTGCATTACTTTATATTTAAATGTATCTATTGGAGACATGCTGCTTCTAGTTATTGATTAAAAATAAATAAATGTCATAGCAGCTTTGAAATAGAATGGTTTGGGTTGGAACAGACCTTAAAGACCAGCCTATTCCAACCTCCCTGCCATGGGCAACGACACCTTCCACTAGACCAGCTTGCTCAAAGTGCCTGGCCTTTGAACACTGCCAGGGTGGGGGCAACCACAGCTTCTCTGGGCAACCTGTGCCAGTGCCTCACCACTCTCATAATAAAGAATTTCTTCCAAATACCTAATCTACCCTCTAATACCTAATCTGCCCTCTTTCAGTTTAAAGCCATTCCCCCCTATCATATAACCACATGCCCTTGTAGAAAGTTCCTCTCCATATTGCTTGTAGTCCTCAATTAAAACAGGTCTCCTCGGTAATGTGTAATGCTGTGAAGTTAGTTCAGTCACAGGTCTATGTTATTATTCCATTTGAGGTAAATGGAGTAATTGATCAAAAGGAACACTGTTCATTGACTTCAGAAACTGTTCTGTGAGTTCATAGTTGACGAGCTCAGACACGGGGGAGGTACCTGCAATTCTGCTAGTAGTCATTTGAAGCCCAGGGATGGGTCAGTGTGTATCAAAGCCCATTTAGTCAGAGACCTGCAGTGTCAGAGTTCTTATGGAAAGTGCAGTGAAATACATTCTGAATCTCAAATTCATCCTGACGGGAAGAAGTAAGGTCCAGCTGTAGTCAAGCAGCCCAAAGAACCTGATTATATAGCTTCAGATGAATTCAATTCAGTTCAGAATTTGCAACTCGGTGGGGTTTTCTTTGTTTGTTGCATATATTTTGCTAATTAGCCAAAGCAGTATATTCAAATCATTCTTAAACCAGATTTCAGATGAAGCATGTCACTTCATCCCCTTCTACAAGGTAGCATTTACCTTTTAAGTGATATTCTGATGAGCTTTCTGGGAGATTTGAACATAAATATTCTTTTGGGGTGGTTAGTCAGTTTAACTTCTAATACCCAGCAAATACTTTTTTAAGTATTAGAATATATATATGCATGCACCTGCATGCTTACGTACGTAATGATACAGATACGTGCATCATATACATAATGTGTGTTTTGTAGCTAATGCATATTTTCAAAAACAAAAAAAAAAAATACACCAAAGAGCACTTCCTCCCAGTGGAATGAAGATGAAAGAACTTGAAGGGCTTGTTTACAAACTTATCTTATTGAGACTTATTCCTTTCTAAAGGACAGAAGGGAAGAAAGTGAAATTCATGCTGCTCCTGTTTCTGCAGGAAGAGTTTAGGAGATTAGCCGTAAGTAAACATTGGGTGTCCCTGCGGAACTACAGAACCTCTTCATTGCCTTCCTCCTTCTGCCTCCTCCCCACACACCCACTTCCCCTTACAGGCCAGAGCTCTGTAATGTTGTTCTTCAGAACCATTTTTTTGCTTTATTTTCATTTAAGTATCATGTAAGGATATAGTAGGGTAATGCAGGCTAGACTGTCTTCTGTAACTTGATTAATGTCAGATGATCTTAAGGTCCTTTCCAACACTGACAATTCTATGATTAAAGGTGTGGGTGCTAATTGTGGGAACAAATAACAAATTTAAATTTAGGAAGACTAGCAAGATTCCTCCCATTAGTATCTTGTACTAAATATTTCAAGCTTCTCTGTTTAGAAGAGACCTCTCCATAGCTTACGTTCATTCTGGATGTTAATTTGGAGAGGAAAGGCGGGCATTTGAGCATAGAGGGGCTTTTGACAGAGGTAGGAAATATTTTCCACTTTCGTCTCTTTCCAGCATACAGTTTCTGATACTGGAACTGGTCTAGTTTGCAGTATTTTTGTGGTGTTGTTCATTGGCCAAGTTTGCATTGCTATTGCTTTTATGTCAGCCATGTAAAAAACAAATTCTTGACTTAACATTAGGCTGATACTGAAGACAAATCTTTCTGGATAGAACCCTCAAATACAGCGCTTGCAGCTCTTAGAAGTTTCATTCTGGACCTGTAAAAATAAACAGTTGCTGCCACCTTTAGATACATGTTAGAAGTGCATAATCTTTGGAAAGGAGCAAGACCTCAGGTTGAAGGAAGATGATGACCTTGCAAGGTACTTGATTTGCTTGGTTGGTTTTGTTTTAAGCTTTGTCCCACCTACATGCATTGGTTGTAACAGTCATTTGGTTTTGTCTTGGATTTGATTTGGCTTTTTTTCTGTGGGTTTTTTTTTTTTTTTTTTTAATTCTGCTGTGGGGTTTGTTTGTTTTTTGGTTTCAGGGTTTTTTTGGATTTTGGGGTTTTTAGTTTGTTGGGGCGTTGGGGGTTTTTTGTTTTCTTTTTTTCAGCTGATTTAGTTCTGCTGAACTAATTAAAATATTGTTAGAAGCACAAAGTATGGCGATCTTTGCCTTTGTAACCTTTTCTCTAGGGCAGCTGGCAAGAGTTATTAATGGGTCATTCTCTTTCTCCTCCAAGTATATATTGCCAGTGTAAGAATGGTAATGAGTACTTCTTTTTTTCATAGACTGCT